CACTGCCACTTCTTCGTAATCCATCTCACGCCACTTTTCGTAACTCATCTCACCCGCCACTTCTTCGTAACTCCATCTCACCCGCACTTTTCGTAATCCATCTCACCTGAACTTTTTCGTACTCCATCTCACCGCACTTCTTCGTAACCCATCCACTCGCCACTTTTTCGTAACTCATCTCACCCGCACTTCTTCGTACTCCATCTCACCTTCCATTCTTCGTAATTCCATCTCACCTGCATTCTTCGTAACTCATCTCACCTGCACTTCTTGTAACTCCATTCACCCGCCATTCTTTCGTACTCATCTCACCCGCCTTCTTTGTCACTGCATCATCACTGCCACTTTTCGTATACTCCCTCTCAACTTCCCTTCTTCGTAACTCCATCTCACTTCACCTTCTTGTAACTCCATCTACCCGACTCTCTTACGTACTCTATCAACTGCCATTCTTTCGTACTCCATCTCCTGCCTTTTCGTACTCCATCTTCACCTGCCACTTTCCGTAATCATCTCACCTCACTTCTTCGTAACTCCATCTACTTGACTTCTTTCGTAACTCCATCTCACTTCCCACTTCTTGGTAACTCCATCTCACTTCCCATTCTTCTTCGTAATCATCTCACCTTTCCACTTCTTCGTACTCATCTCATTCCACTTCTTCGTAACTCAATCTCACCTTCCACTTCTTCGTACTATCTCACTTCACTTCCTTCGTAACTTCTCATCTCACTTCCATTATTCGTAATGCCATCCTCAACCTGGCCACTTCTTCGTACTCAATCTCACATTCAATTCTTTGTATCATCTACTTCCACTTCTTCGTACCTCATCTACCGCCACTTCGTACTACATCTCACTGCCACTATCTTCGTAACTCATTCACTCCACTCTTCGTACCCTTCTACCGCTTCTTCGGTAACTCACTCACCCGCATATTATCGTAACTCATCTCATGCCTTTCGTAACTCCTTCTCAACTGCCACTTCTTCGTAATCATCTACTGCCACTTCGTAATCTATTCTCCAGCACTTCTTCGTAACTCCATCTCCGCACTTTTCGTACTCCATCTTCACTGCCATCATCTCTCGTAACTCATCTCACTGCACTTCTTCGTAACTCTCTCACCCGCACTTCTTAGTACTCCATTCACCTTCCACTTGTACTCATTCACTGCCACTTTCTTCGTACTTATCTCACCGCATTCTTTCGTAACTCCTTCACTGCCTTTTTCGTAACTTCATCTACGCTTGCCCTTCTTCGTACTATTTCACCGCCATCTTCGTAACTCATTACCCCACTTCTTCGTATCATCTCACCATGCCATTCTTCTAACTCTTCTCAGCTAGCACTTCTTCGTATCCATTCTCCGCATTTTTCGTAACTCCATCTCACCGCACTTCTCGTAACTCCATTCAACTGCTTTCTTCGTATCCATCTCACTTCATTTCTTCGTACTCATCTCACTTGGCTTTTATTTATTATTTTTAACTGCATCTCACCTGCACTTCTTTGTAATCTCTCTGCAGATTCTTCGTAATCTCCATCTACCTGCCACTTCTTCGTAATCTTCTCACCCGCCACTTCTTCGTAACTCATTCACCTGCCAGTTCTTCGTAACTCAATCTACCGCCATCTTCAACTCATTCACACGAACTTTCTACTTCGTAACTCATCACTGACTTCTTCGAATCCTTTCACCTGCCACATTCTTCGTACTCACTTCACCGCTTTTTCGTAATCCATCTCCTGCCACTTTTCGTAACTCATCTCACCGCCATTTTCGAACTCCATCTCACCGCCATTCTTCGTAATCATCTCACCTGCACTTTCTCGTAACTCCATCTCACCTGCACTTCTTCGTAACTCATCTCCCGCCAATTTCTTGTAACTCCATTCACTTCCACTTTTCGTACTCATCTCACCGCCACTTCTTCGTAATCCATTCACCTGCACTTCTTCGTAACTCCTCTACTGCACTTTTTCGTAACTCCATCTCACCCGCCCTTCTTCGTAATTCCATCTCACCCGCCATGTCTTCGTACTCATCATACCTGCCACTTCTCGTGAACTCCATCTCAATCTGCATTAATCTTCGTAATCTTCTCATGCCACTATCTTCGTCCATCTCACTGCCACTTCTTGTAACTCCAATCTCACTGCCACTTTTTCGTTAACTCCATCTTACTGCATCTTCGTAACTATTCCCGCACTTCTTCGTAATCCATCTCACTGCCACTTCTTAGTAACTCCTTCTACGCCCTAGTCTTTCGTACTCATCTCACTGCCACTTATCGTAAATAAAACTGCCATTATCTTCGTTCATCTCAACTTTGCCACTTCTTCGTAACTCTTCTCACCTGCCACTTCTTTCGTAACTCCCATTCCCGCCATTTCTCGAATCCTCACTGCCACTTCTTCTACTCCTTCTCACGTCCATTCTTCGTAACTCCATTACCATGCATTCTTTCGTCATTACATCTCCTGCAGTTCTTCGTAA